TCATTTAATTTACTCATTTTCTTTTAAAACGGCCACCCCCGGTAACAGGCACTACTAATATGTAGATTTGGCCAAGCCTAAAAGCGAGGCTCCTGATCAAAATAAATGAACCTGGCTTAAGCCTGCGATCCCATGGAAATACCACTACTTGGTCAGCGGTCTGACCAAGTATTCCTGAAAAGCCCCCGTAAATGAACGTGACAGGCTGCTGGATCCACCAAGATACTATGAGGATTGGTTGCTTAGCGACGTCTCTGAGAACAACCACGAATGGAGGTGATCGAAGAACTCTATCTTGTACTTCTCTTACGTGCACACCATTGGCGGTTTCCACTTGCAATATAGTTTGTGTGAAACAGGATAATATTTACCGCCGGGGTAATATTTGCAGAATCTAAGGAAGACGGAATACTGCATGGCCGACTGACAGACGTCTTAATCCTACCTATACTTCTAGACTCAAAGGTCATTAGTGAGGAGGACTGAGTTATGATTCTTTCTGTCTGGAAAGAAACTAAATAATCTCCTTCCCAGAGAAAATATATACGCTAACTCTGAGACTGAAATTAATTGGCAAAAAAGAAAGCATACTTACATTGTTAACTGCTTCAGGAACGAACATTAACCTGGCCTCTGAGGAACTCTTATTAGCAGTATTTATCTCCTCAGATAAATAGCATTCCTTGCCTAAAGAGCAAATTTCCGAGCTGAAATAAAGTCCAAATAAGGTAAAACATTGTTTCTTTTAACAGATGCGATTACGTTACCTGAACTCAAGGCCAATCAATTCTCGTTTTTCAAATACCACAGGGTTGATAACTTCAGTACATGAACGGTAGCCTCCATTTGGCGCGAAATTTTGCCCTGATATTTGTCCGCGGACATTATTTGTTCCGAGAAGTGAACAGTTTCCCGAGAACGTAACTCGAGGAAAACTGTGAGCTTTAAAGAACATATAATGTCCGCGGACAAATATCCGAGCATATTTTCGCGCCAAATGGAGGCCATTGTGTTTATTATCCTTCAATTATTTTGTTGCAATGTGTCTAATTTCTCGCGCGCTGATTGGCTCATTTTTATCATCAATAAGAGTACAGACGGATAAAGTTTTAATTTATGCAAGCTTTCAAGTTCGACTTTCAACTGTCAAACTGTCAACTTTTTAATCAATGGACCTTTTATGGACCTTTTAAAGTAGCCTATCAAAAAGCGAGAAAAGCTATTGACAATGAAGAATACAAAAGCAGAAACCGACACAACGTAGAATGATTTTTTGAAGNCTTCTTCAGGTACAATGAGAATTTTACATTGGGACGTGTTTTATGTAGCATATTTTCGTAATACCGGAAATACGTAAAACTAATTGACAGTGTAAATTTATAGATAAGCATACGGTAAAATAAAATAACATAATAAAAGAACATAATAAAAGGAAACCGATTAATATGTTTCAGACCATCAGGATCAATTGTTCTGCCTTTTTGAATTAAAAAAGCTTCCTTGGCCTTACGGATAGAGTCTCGGTTCGAAAAGATTTTTTCGATGGGGATTAATTGCATGTCGTTAGCAGTGTGGTTAGGAGAAGACAGGAAATGTTCTGCGGCTGTCCCCGCCCCGATCGCTTTGCTCTCCGAATTCTTCTGTTTCGCGCTCTCCGAAATTTTTTTCCGTCCTCGCCGGGAGCCTGTTTGCAGGCTATTCCAGTTCCCAAAAAGGTACAACAACCAAAATGTACTTTATCAGATTTTAATAGCACTAGACCAAAAAGCCAATTACAATGTGATATCTCAAGAAAGATAATTGTAATGAAAAAGTCTGTATCATTGTTTGATCTTTTTAATGATTTCTGCAAAATCTGTTATTTCTGAGGAGCGGGAACTTCTTCCACCACAATCCGGGACACAGAGTTCCAGTGAGAATAAGCGTCTGCATTACCGAAACGTGGACAGTTCCCCACGTTGAACCCCACACGCACTCTTCCCTTGGGAATATTCTCACAGTACCCTTCAATATGGCGGACTCGTAGTGGCTGTTCGCCTCTCACTCTGTGCATGTAAATAACTCCGTCAATTGGCATTGGACCACTGCATTCGGCGCCACTGAAGGTGAAGAACCAACGCTTGCAACAAAGCGTGCAACCCAAGATGCGAAGAGCTCCAGAGTAGAATACACGCAGAGCTGTGCTGTCGTACACCTTTTGAAAAAGACAATCCTAAAGAAAAAAACAGTAGTTTAGTTAGTCAGGACTTTCAGTACTACCTAGTCTGTCCTCCCTAAGTTACGTCCACTTCTTGTAGTAAAATTTTCAAGATTTTCTAAGCTCGTTAGCGACAAGCAACTACTACTTTCGACAGAAGTAGTATTTGTGAGTTGTTTTGTATGATTTAGTTCAGTATTCGGTCACCTTTAATAGGCCATGGTCTCGGCCATCCGGACCTTTCCAAACACACTGCTTCCAGTTAGAGGAGGCCTGAGTACTTCCCTTTTGACCTTTTACTCCAATTTCTCCTTTTTCTCCTTTCTTGCCTCTCACACCGTCCCGACCGTGAGGTCCTGGTAATCCTGGGCCTCCTGGAAAGCCAGGGGGTCCCTGAACCACTGTGCAGGACTGGAAGTAGAGCAAGACATTAAAAAGAAGGTAATTTGTGACAATCTTAAATTAGCATAAATTACTATTTTGCAGGCACGGAGCAGAGGCTCGGGGGCGAGCTCGAGGTGCCCAGCGCTCGGTGGGATTAGAGTTTGAAATTAGTTACGGTTAGTAGGGTGAGACATTCTACTGTCAGCCGTCACCGTGTGTAGTTGTAAAGTTCGTTCGTTCGTTTTCCTCATGGACGAAAGGAAAGTCAAAGAAATCATTGCTCAGAACAATCAGGACTTGCTGAGCCAGATTAGGGATCTAGTCTCCACTTCCATTTCGGATCTAAAACGATCGAGTGATTCCAATGCTGCTGAGCAGATGTCAGAGATCAAAAGACTAAAGCGTGACGTTCCACCATCTTTCAATAGGAAGAGCAACGAAGAACAGTTTAAAGCCAATAAATCTATCCTTGAGGTCGTAGAAGGCGCGAACGTCGCTCTAGATCGCAAAGATTTACAAAAAAACTGACATGAATGATCTTTTACAGCTACGTAACTTAGTTATATTTGTTCTAGCCTTTTCGGGCTTTCTTAGGATTTCCGAGCTGTCACTTTTTCGTGGCAAAGACGTTCACTTTGGTTAAAGTTTTATTTCTATCTCCATCGAAAAGAGTAAAGCCGATCAGCTAAGGCAGGGTCAGTCCGTGGTCATTGCGGAGTCAGGTTCTAGTATATGTCCTGTGACCTTGCTTAAATTATACATGGAAAATTCTCGCCTTTTTTTGATTCCGATGGTTACCATTTTAATAATAATAATAATAATAATAATAATAATAATAATAATAATAAAAAGGTTCTTATTGCGCATTTAGAATTCTCAATGCGCTTACAATTGTATACGATTAAAAAGAATAAAAACCTAACTAAAAGATGCAATTATTTAAATCTATGACTAGGTTAAAAACTATTACAAAAAAGAAATGT